AACGTCGTACATTGACCGCTTTAGATATTTACACTCTTGAGTCTGTTGCCGTTTAGACGATCAGCGCAAACAAGTTTGAGTTGTATGGTGAAGAGAATTTACTGTCGAACAAGTTGGGGAGGCAATTTTGTTTCTTTTCAGTGATGATCGTTCACTTTGTGCGCGGTAATGTTCTCTTTAAGTTTTCTCTCTTATATTCAGTTGCTCTTATGTTGTCTCATGTGCGTGCAGAATTGCCATATGATGACCGATCTTGTTTTCTGCTGTTGGCTATTCAACTTCTTTCTTCTTGTAGTGGCGCATTCTTCGAGAGCAACACACTAAGTTGGATCGGAAGAACTTTTTTACCTAACTTTCATAACAAGTAGCTTGACTGCAGGAAAAACTTTAGTTCTGCGTCAGCCATTGAATCGATAAGTTCGGCTTTCTGTTTCTGTGTTGAAATTAAAAAGTGAGATATATTTGTGTTCGTCCTCGCTATTGGTGATTCATAATTACACTTAGAAATTTAAGGGACTAACTACATTGCGCATATAGAGTTCTATATCGGAAGAGTTCAAAAATGTCAGTTGAAAATTATAAAAAAAAAAAATTGATTTGGTTTTGTGTATAAAAAACCAAATTAATAATAATATTTTAAAATTATTTTACAAATAATTGTTGTTTATATCGTAATAAAAATTGTATTTAATATTTGATATAATTTAACATCATTTGCATATTGTATAAATACTTTTCAAATTACATATTATTTTCGCTTAAACAATAATTTATACACATATGTATAGATGGATATTTAAATGCCTATGGGAATTGGCATCAAGCTAGAACCAAGCAGTCGGACGTAACCGATTGTGCGATACTCTGTACCAAGTGTTAGAGCATCTGAACTCATGTGGGAAAATCATTATTAATTAGAAAGCTAGTAATTGTAAAGCTGTCCTTGGTTTTAAGCCCATACTTTTTTTTAAGATCTACAATGGAGGAGTGGTTGCAGTGGGAATACATTTGGCTAGATATTTATAAGAGTGCAAAATATTCAAAGGAGAGCTTCAGGAATCGAACAAGCCTTCTTTCGCAGTAAAAAATAGTATTTTCACTCTATCAAGAGAGTTTATCGTCCAAGTTGGGAGTCTGTTGTTTCAATTGACAGACAGACAATCATTGCAAAGATAGCAGCATATTTTTTCTTCCGTCTGCGAACAGGGTATAAGAATCATTACCCTCACTTGACAGCTTAAGAAAAAAGCAATGCACTGACTGAAGAATGACTAAGAAAAATCACAAGAAAGAACAATGTTAACCGGTTTGTTCGAACCGCAGCGGCAACGGCGTCCGATTGCTATTGGTGCTCCATAAATGTGGCAAAGAAGATTCTGTAGGCACTAAACTGTAAGAGTGCAGTAAAAAAACTAGCAATTTCAAGCTAAGACAAATCACAAAAAGCAATAAGATTTTTTAATAAAACTTCCGTCAAAACATTAGCAAACGGTAGCGTGGTGCAGTTAAATTATACTGTAAATCACAGCTTAATGTTAGAGCTGACAAAGCAGGTGTAATTTTTTAAGACCTTAACATCTCTGCAAATCTTCTTTTCCGTCTGTCCACTACGTGTGCAAAATTCCGAAAGTCAGAAAGTTAGTAAATAAATTTAATTGAAGTACACTTAAATATGCAAATGTATAAATTTTGAATTGAAAATAGGGCAATCAAATACAGTTTAGAATGTGTACTTAGGTATATCGAGTGATGTCATTTCAAAGTCCGCAAAACAGCTTAAATCAATACAGGCAAAAAAAAAAAAACAAAAAAAAAACAATAATAAATAAATAAAAAAAAGAAAGAAAAAGCAAGAGAACTTTCTCCCATATGAATGCTGCGAGGTCGACTGATTTTATTCATTCACTCGATTTTGTGTGTCATGATGTGTTTAGATTTCAAATAGGCGTTTGTCAAGCAATTCTATGATTTTTACCGCTGTAGTTCCAATGTAGTATATAAAACCAGTTATTTTCAGTTTTTCTGTTAGCTTTGGTGTTAACAATTAATTAGAATGCTAATTTATGGTCGGAATCAGAGAAAGAAAATGTTAAGTCCAGCCCACCGTTACCGAAAAGTTGACCCACATCTATTTAGCGATTAAATGCGTCATTTTGAAAGCTCCAACCTTATCTTTTTTATGTGTGTATGGGTGCAGATATATGTTAGATTTCTAAATCAAGACTAGAGACTTCAGAGCAATTGGAGATAGTGAATGAAATAAATGATTTATTCTATTGCAAATATACTAAAACGTTTCCTGTTTCCAATCGAAAGATAGATCAAAGCAATAAATACGAATTGACATAATTTCCGTGCTAATCGAAGACCACACATTTCTCATGTGAGCAACAATCCGACCCGATCAATGGCATACTTAAGCCAGCACCAAACAACAGACATGTGGTTTGTGGCTTCTCTTTATGAATTTTATGCAACCGCCAACAAGTATATCGAGTATTTCTCTTAATGGCAGCGACAACATCAGCGTATAATAATTGACCTGATTATTTTGTGGATTTCTAAGCATTTTAGATGTACAGATGACCACCTCTTCAAGTGCTGGTGAAACTGAACAAGTGAACCTTTTCTGCATACCAATTCGAATGCTCCTGAAGAGAATAAATAAAGAGTTATTTGCATATAGATTTATGTTGATTGTGATATGTACATTGCGCATATGTTAGATTCATCAACATGTTAAAAGAAATTGATAATAACAGAACTTAAGACAACTGTATACAGAAACACAGCGTTTCCAATTCTCTCCAATAGATGCGGTTTTAAGAAGCCGGTTTATTTTGGTGAAATGGCGGTAGGTGTGTTCGCATGTTGGAGTCGGTGTGTATCAAATACCGTTGACTTAAGCTGCGTTCCCAATCAAGATTAAAGTGCATGCACGGTAAACAATTTATGTTAAGACATAATATCTTTTGATGCTTACTACTATAATCCAATTTTAAGAATCCAATGCAGTTAAAGCCATAATTAGAAAGGAGAAATAAAATCGAATTCTTAACAACCAAAAACTACTAACTTTCGAAGACCTTTGCTAGTCGTAGACAACTCAACCCAATTTATGCTTATGGGAGATCAAGCATTTTTTTTTTTGTTATTTTACATTTAAATTAAGTCAACATAATGAGAGAAAAAACATCAAAAGGCATGACTTGGAGTAAATTTAACACCGAAAAGAATACACCGAATAAAACTGTGGGTGAAGGGTATTTTTTCTCCAATTAAATATCATCTTAAATAGCAATACTTTTACGTTGAGTGAAATTTTTTTTTATATTTCTTTGCAACTAAGAAAAATTTTTTATGTAGAGTGAAATTATTTAAAATATTTCTTCGCAACTAAGACAATTCATTGTGGGTTGCGCAGCCAATATTATAGGAATCTTAATTAAGTTAATTACAGTAAAGTGAATTTTTCTCAAAGGAAGTATTATTTAAAATTTTAAAATTTATACGCCGAGTGACATTTATTTTTTAAACTTTTTTTCCCTAACAACTGAGAAAATTCATGATGGGGTTTGCTGTCAACATTATTGGCATTTAAATGAATTTAATTACAAGAATTAGCCAAGGCATTTAATTGTAACTTAAATTATTTGCTGTGTAGCTCTTTGGCCATGGGGCTCGAGCATTTCTTGTGTCAGCAGCTTGCATCTTGCAGCATGCAATTTTAATGTATGGCTTGCATGATGCACCACGCTATCGAAATGTATATATTTATACATGCTTGCATACACACACACACACACACACACACACACACACACACGCACACACACAAAGAGTAAAATTCACTGTTAGAATAACAAGTTTTTCGACCTGTGAGTTCTATTTTTAGTGGATAGTATGCGCTGGTGTATTTACTAGTCAGTGACCAGTCGTCACGGTTGGTAAACGTTGCTAATTGGAAGTTAGATGTGTAAAGAAAACCGAAAGAAAATCCACTTAATGTATGCTTATGTATGTATATAGATTATTTTTATGAGTGTTCCCTTAAGAAAGTACACAAGCGTACATTACTTGCGTCTGTGAGCGATTTTTTGTAAGTCGAATAAGCTGTGGACACCTGCTGTCATTGGCAAATGACAAATCAGCTTTAAATGTTATGGCTTATGGCGACTTTTGAGAAAGTGAAATTACGATGCTCTTTTTTAAGTATCTTTAACACAGAAAAAAAAACCAGTATGTGCGTTACTGTCAAAAAAAAAGCCGAGAGCGCCACATGTACCCAGTTTAATAACAGCTTAAAGCACACATAGACAATACTTGTCTTTCTCTGTTGGGAGCTTCAACAATACTTTGGGAACATCTTAGAGTAAGTCGCCAAGCAAAGATTTTGATTTTGTCAAGTTGCGGGTGCGAAATTTGCGACTAGCATATATATATATATATATATATATATATATATATAGGGTATATATCTGGTCGTGCCCTCTCCACAAAGGAAATTTAAAGGTTCACAACCTTTTTATTATCTTTACTTCCCCACTAAGTATCAAGCATTCTTGTTGGCCATTAACTCAGCAGTCGCTTCACAATTTTACTCACCCAACCAGAACAGAAGTCAGGTCACTCACTCCCCCAAGAGGTAATTGACTTTCTTGTGCTGTTATGACATAGTGTATCTCATAGTGCACAACGGAATCACCGCAATTGAAAAGGTTAACTAAGTTTTAAGACTGGCCAGCCTAAGGTCAATGTTGGTCATTTATTTTTTAATAACTTACAAAAATCAAGGCACAAGCAAACCAAATGCGAACTGACTTTCTATATATTTATCTTAAGAGCCGCCCATTCCTATCATTAGCTGACTTAATATATGCAAAACACATTGAGAAACTTCTTTCTCTGTTTTAGTGGTTTCTATATATCATAAATATTATACGAAACTGAATCGTATTTATGCCATTTAACTCTACAAATAAAATTTTCTAATTTTTTAGATACCAATTAGTCATAGCGGTTTATGGCCATAAATCAACATGTTTTACAAATGCATTGCAATAGTGGTATTAATGGTGTGCGTGACTCAGGCGCAGGAGTCGGCAACTGTGGACAGCAGCAGTCTTGATGTGTCTGATAAGAGCGAAGAAACAACAACAACAGAAATTCCATTGGGAATGGAGACAACAACAGAGATCTCTCCGACAAATGATATACCAGTAGTTCCAGCGATTGCGACTGAGAATCGAAACTCTGCGGTTGATCTCTCGGCCGCCACGGATTTCGAGTCCAAGAATCTGCCATGCGACTATGAGCTCGTTGGATTTGAAATTGTGACTGGGTAAGTGGGAATAAATTATTCCATAAATCATATTTAGATAAATTTTATCTTTAATTTTGGTTATTTTGAACTTTGCAGCTATGTTTTCTCCGCTCCTGGCAGACTTTTGGAATCACTGCCTGGTACCTTAATGTTAACTGACTGTCTGGACATTTGTCTCAAGAACAGGACTTGTCAGTCGGTAAATTATGAGACTGGGCTGTGCGTTCTCTTTTCAGCTAATGCTGATCAACTTCCAGGTAATTACTTGTTCACATTTATATTTAATATGTTTAGAAGAATCTTATAATTAAATTGCATTCATTTCATTTGTAGGAGCTTTAACAAAATCACAGTTTCCTGTGTTCACAATATATGCCCAGAAGTATTGCCACTCAAAAAAGCCATGTTTACGAGCTTGGTACATCGATCGAGTACAAAATTATAAGTTAAGGTCGGAAGTTAAACGCAGCGTATCGGTTTCATCACGGCGGCAATGTTCTGAATTGTGCCTTGACGAGAATGAGTTTACATGCAGGTAATAAAAGGTTTTAAGTACTATTTAAATATCTATATTTAAAATCCCTTGTTAACTTATTACAGGTCAGCAAACTTTATAAGGGAATCTGGTGTTTGTGAGCTTAGTGAAATGGACCGATCGACACTAGCTGGTACGAATGCCTTCCAAGCCATGGAGGGTAGTGAATATCTTGAGAATCATTGCATAGAGGAGCCGAATAAGCTGTGTGAATTCAAGCGATTGCCTGGACGCATTTTAAAGACTGTTGACTCCGTGTATCAGGAAGTGAGCAGCGTTGATGAGTGCCGTGAACTTTGTCTCAATTCTCCATATAGGTGAGCATTAACACAAGTATTTGATTAAACATATTTATATTCTCGATATATTCTCCTTTATATAGATGCCACTCATATGACTACAATGATACGGGTGACATGGTTTGTCGTCTTTCCCATCACAGCCGGGCAACGCTGACAGACGTTCAAGATCCTTACTTGGAGGTGCCCGAGGCATCGACATATGAGCTCGCCTCCTGCTATAATGTGACCATCGAGTGTGGCGGTGGAGAAATGCTCGCTCGCATTCGCACCTCAAAGCTATTCAGCGGAAAGGTGTATGCCAAGGGCTCGCCCAGATCATGTGCAATTGATGTGAGGAGTGCCCTGGACTTTGAGTTGCGCATGAGTTATCATGACCTGGAGTGCAATGTGCGCCAGAGCCAAGCGGGTCGTTATGTTAATGATATTATCATACAGCATCATGATATGATTGTTACCTCCTCCGATCTGGGACTGGCCTTGGCCTGCCAATACGATTTGAGCAACAAGTCTGTCAGCAATGGCGTCAACTTGGATGTTCGTGGCGATCTCCAGCCAGCGTTGTCCGAGGAAGTCATTGTGGACTCTCCGAATGTTATTATGCGTATCACTTCACGCGATGGAAGCGATATGATGCGCTCTGCCGAAGTCGGCGATCCCTTGGCATTGAAATTCCAAATCTTGGATGAGCAGAGTCCTTATGAGATATTCGTACGCGAACTGGTCGCTTTGGATGGCGTGGATAATTCGGAGATAACGCTTATTGACTCCAATGGTTGTCCCACAGATCACTTTATTATGGGTCCCATAGTGAAGAGTGCTTCCTCAACAAAGATTTTGCTATCCAATTTCGACGCATTCAAGTTTCCCTCCAGTGAAGTTGTACAGTTCCGTGCTCTGATCACGCCTTGCATGCCCACGTGTGAACCGATACAATGCGACCAGGAGGACACCAGCGGCGAATATCGATCCTTGCTCTCATATGGAAGAAAGCGTCGTTCATTAAATATAACAGGTGAGATCATTAATGGGTTTGACAGCTCTTTTGTAAACGCTCTTACTACTATTGGAATTCGGTCTTCCATTTTAGCCAATTTTGATATGCGACAGAAGCGTGAATTGAACTCGCCCGAAGAAATGCTACTGGTACAGTCAATACAAATAACTGACAAGTTCGGCTTTGATAAGCAGCAGGGTCGCAAGTCGAATATCGGTGAATATTCTGAGGATAATGAAACTGATTTTAAAACAGCTGATGCAGGACATGGTTTCTGTGTGAATGCCATTGGTGAGTGTTTTTAAAAAAACTATAAAGGTTTATTATTACAATTAAATCGTAAACTAAAAATTGAGTGAGATCTTAAATATTTGTTTATTTTATTTCATTTTCATTATTTCTCATTTTCTTTTTCTTTATGTTATTTATTATTTTGTAGGCCTTATATCTGCAGCAACATTTTTCTTGGTCACTCAATTGGCTATTATTGGCATTTGGACCGTTTGCTATCAGCGCCGGCAGAAACTCCAGTCGTACCAGCACTCGTATTAGACTCTTCAGTTTTGCCCTTAAATCGAACAAGTAAATTTCAACATAGGTGCCAGAAACAATTACCTATTACATGCTTATGTAGCTGCACTCGAAATTTGTCTTGTCTAGTCAGTGCTCGATTTGGGTTATACAATACATTTTTTATAAGTATATCGTGAATTGTTGGTTAATGGATACTAATATTTCAATACTAATTATTTATTTTATTTATCTCTTCAATACTCTACTATAATTTACCATGATTTTCCACACTTATAAAGGCAGTTCGACATCTGTATTGAACTCCCTTTGTGACTTCGGAAATAGATTAAAAGTTAGCTGACATTTCTAAACGATGGTAAACTGTTCATTTTTACTCATACAAGTTATTAATTTCTCTTATTGATCGATAAGCTTAGACAAATGGAGAACTATTCTTAAAGAATTATTGCGCAAGGCATCAATGATGTCAGATGGTATATATAAATATATTATTTCTCATTCATAAATGTATTTAATTTAATCAAAATAAAAATTCTTTAATATATATTTGTTTTTCTCGAAAAGTTGGTGGGATCTAATAAGATAAATGACCGAACACAAAGTGGTCAATTTGTAACAAATCGAGTTAACTTTTAAGTTGTCTTATTTGAGGCTAAAAATATGGACTTAAGTACATTGCTAAGCATACAATAACCCCCATACGTTTAGGGGCTATAAGATTAATGGTATCAATTATGCTGTATAGATTTCTTCGCAATTAATAACACAAGTATCATTTTGCAAATGCATCGTTTCAGAAGAGATATGAAATTTTTAATGTAAATGCCACTCGTTCAATAATACTAGTAAATTAGGAAACATATTTAAAGCTATCCTTTCGCCATCGCGTCCGCCCTTCTGTAATTTCAATAAAATATTTCAATGCAGAGCTGTGAACATATCTCGTGGCTCGCATATAGAAATGCTGCTTATTGGCTTGAGCACCAGTGTTGTTAGCCTATTTCTGGGCGCTGATTAGGCCTTCTATTGTTGGCCAAGCTGCTGAGTTCGCCGGCCGTCGCGCGTATCTCTGCTGCCAGTCAAGTTGAGCGTGGCGTATACGTGATGCCATGATAATCATGCTTATTTACAATAAATCTCAACTGAGGACTTCAAGTGTTGTGAAGTGTTAGCCGAGCACATCTCGCCAAGCGGCTCTGATGATTTATTTAATGCGTAATCTCTGCCAACGCCTGCCTGACAATGCCAACAACGGCATCAACAGCAACAGCAGCAAATACAACAGCAACAATATCATTATAATAATCATTATTTTCGCAGCACCTCGGATTATTATTATTATTTCGCATTCAAGTGCTTTGTTTGGCACCCGCTGCAAAAACAAAAATAATCAATTAATTGTGGATCTTAGCAACGAGCTACAAAGTTTTTGAGTTGACTCGACATAGTTCGCCAACATTTTGAGTCACGTAATTAACTTAGCCAGGACATCAATCAACAGCGAAAGCTGAGCCAATGCTCTGTCTACAGCTGGAGCGTGAGCACTTGAGCGGATAAACATAAATCTGTAAAGTTCATAGTATGGCCACGGCATAGTACCTCGGCTCCAACGTGTGAGGGGGTGGTGGTGGTGATGGCTGGTTGGCTGGTTGGTGGTTGCGGGGCTGGTTGCTGTGAGTATTATTGCGCTTGTCATTATCATTAAAGTGCTGTCACAGCGCTCAGGCACCAATATGAGGAACAAAGCACAGCTGCGACAAGCTGGTATACATAGATATGTATACCTACATACAAATATATATTTGTAGCTATGGATAAATACACTGACACCCACACACACACATACACACAAAGAGTGGGCGGGAGCTGGGCGAGAAAAAGTGTGAGAGCTAGTTGCTAAACGCTTCAGGGCATAAATATTGATTGATTGTTGTCAGACAAAGTTGTTGTCGTTGTTGCGTACTTTGTGGGCCTTGAGCAGGTATCTGTCTGAGGAGTCAACTTTGTGGCTGCTGCTCATCCAACAAGGACAACAACCAAAGCAGCTTAACGAAGCCACGATGCTCTGTCGTCAAACAAATAAAGTCGACTGCCTTTGATCTATGTTCATTGGATGCTAACGTTTAAAATAGAAACAGGTCAATTGAGCAATCATTTTGTATTTATTTCTGGTTTCTTTATGAGTCCAAGAATATTTCGCGTTAAAATTACAAAATCCCAACCAAGAGTATATAAATTATCATAAACAAGTAAAGCTGTTTGCCTTCCAGCCAAAGTAGTTGCTATTCGCATACATAAATGTACATATATACTTTCCTATATATTTCAACATATATGTTTTGAGAAGCGTGCAAATTGCGTTCTTGATGTTGTCACATAGATGCTGCAATCATAAATCATGTCATAAATGGCCTATATAAATCGACTAAAAATAGATGAAGACAGCGACCCTTCAAGCAGCCATAATAAATTCTTAATCGACATTGAGCTGATGGCAGCTTATGCCGGAACAGGACTTAAATGCAATCGAATTGAAAATCAAACAGATGAAGACATTTCGGCCACAATTGCAACAAAAGCGAGCGAACTGCGGTGAACCCAAGTACATGCACAGCCATTTTAACAGCTACACCCTTTGTTGCACCACCAGCCAGAAAAGTGGAAAAAAAAAATATTAGAAAGAAGAAAAAAGAAAAATGAGAATAGGAAAATAAAAGAAAAAGCGAACCATTTCAATGGGATTTACATTTTCCAGCTATTGAGCATTGCATTCGCTTTTAAACATAGCAGCAGAAAGCAGAAAATGAATCGAAATAGTTAAGTCAGCATAGGTCGCGCTCTTTTTCTGGTTGTGGCCCTGGTAGTGTTTCTGGTTCTGCTGCTGGCCATGGACAAAGAACATAGAACCAAAGACCGTGCCGCAAAAAATGTAAAAACTATTAAGCGGCATTAGCCGCGCATTGCTCTCGGTATTTGTGTGTCGTGGTCCTGCTGTTAGATCCACTTCTCATCCTGTTTTATGCTCCAACTCTTCTGGCTCTTCTGCGCTGTAAATCATTGAAAATATTGGGCATTTTCGACATGTCGATCACAATTATAAGTTGGAATTAATGGAGACGTTTTTATTGTTAATCCTTTTTTGGTAAAACAATGTAAATAATTTAAGTATTTTTACAAACAGTGCTTCTAAAACTTTGAACAATTTTGTACAATTTGTTTTTTATTAGATTATTTTTGCTTAAGCGCCAAGCTAGTTCTAGCAAATGAAAAAAAGTTATTACTTAAAAACGTATTTTATAATAGTAGTAATGTCTCATTTTGTCTTTTTATATTTTAATATTTATGTATCCCTTTAATTTTAAGTCTTATAAATTGTAACTTTAACTTTGATTTTAAGCCTATAATATTATTTTTATTTGATCACATTTTATATAATATGCATGTACTTAAATAGTTAAAAGACAGCAAGTAATTTTCATTACAGCGTATTTGCTTACCTGGCTGGCATATTGAGCCAGCTTAGCCTGCTCTTAGCTGCATTTTCCGTCCAACTTTTGATCGAATGTCAAGCCATTTGAGTCAACGTTGGTCGCTTCGCTGAATCGGTGGCATGACTATTTGACTCCGTTCGCCCGCTGCACCACTTACAATCAATTCAGCCACCATTTACACACATACACACATCAAGTCTTAAGCGCAATTTTTTGCTCACATCGGCAACAGGCTTTATATATATGTATGCACTTCCTTTACAGCTCATTCGTTGTCCTGCTGCACTTGCTGCTGCACTTGCAAATCTAATTTCATATTTTATGAAGTGGCGCAGCGGTTGAGCCGCAACACCTTTCGTCCTAGCCATTCTCGACAACTCCTCATTTTTTCCGTGCATTATTTTTACCGTTTGCACCTTGCGGATAGTTTCGTATCGTTCGGTTTCGGTTCAAACGGTTTCATTTCGACTGCAGCAGCCATTGAAATTGAACTGGAAAATCAATTGTTGAGCACATAAATTTGTTAGTACGAGAATTGCACCGTTGGGTAAAATTTATTTCTGAAAATTGCACTCAAAAGCGTTGCGCAAATAAAGTGCACACAATACAAATGCCGGAAACCGTCTACGAATGGACTCTTAAAGACAAGCCATTAAAAATAAAATAAATGACGAAAACAATACCCAATTGTCGTGGCTGGGCTTTAAGACTTGAGGTTTGTTGTCATATCATTTGCTCTCGTCTTGCGTGCCCTGCACTTCATTAGCGGCAAATGGAGAATCTCGGCTGGCTAAAAATGTCAACTATGCCATATAACAAGGAGGGACTGGAATACAAATTGCTGTTGCCTGCCTGCACTTATCTGGGTCTAAAACGATGCACAAATATTTTGTAGACACTTAAGCAGCTCAAATTACAAAAGGGTGCATATTTGCGAGTGTGTATGTGTGTTTGTGTTTGTGTGTTTGTGTGTCCTTACGTGTTGGTGTGTTGAAATATATCAGCAACATTGCAACAGAGGAGAATGGATAGCTGCAGCATTAACGTTTTGCATGAAGGTTCAAGCAGCGCATCCAAACGACTTTCAAAGGAAACGGAAACTCAAATGGCGACATTGTTGAAAACATGCACGTGGAACTTGTTACACAACGCAGCTCCAAGGTGCAGCATTCAGCAGCAGCATCTGTAGCAGCTGCATGAAATCTTTACAAAAGCGGCAATTCATTTTAGCATTTCTTGAATCCGAATGGCAAAAGACGTGCACATGTCAAGTGATTGTGACTCGGCAATGTGACCAGCAAGCCAGCGTCGGCAACGACTTAGATGTGGCATGTGGCAAGGGCCAAGACGCATGAGGTATGTGGCGAGCGGGTGCCAAGATAGCGCTGGCAGCTATTACAGCATACCTGAAAGCATGAAAGGGCTGACAGCTCTTGACAATGACAAAAGCGACTTCCAGGCAGGTGCTTTTTGGGGTTGTGATATTTGGGTGGGGGGGCTGATAAGGGGGATGGTTAAAAGGTTGCCTGTCATTGGCATGGCAATTCCTGGCCAAGGACCCAAACAAAGCTGACCAAAGCTGTAATATAAATGGAACAGTGTGTTGTCAGTGTTACAATAATCACAATAGCTAACTAAAGCAAATGCCTGTGTTGTATAATGCCTTGAGTATACGGTATACGGTATACAGCATGCAGTATATGTCAGGGGAGAAGGAGCTTTAAATGTGTCACCTGCAATAACTGTTGTCTATGTAAAGAACCAACTCCTTTCAATTACTCACAAAGAAAGATTGGTTTTACCATTTTCTCTTAATTATATTACACATAAAGGAAATATAAATTAATGAAAATGGTAATAACGGATCTGAGAAGACTATGCACACCTGACGAAATAAGTCAGATAGTCGTTACAGTCAACTGATCTTACTAAATTAAACTTCCGCTGACTTTTCCAAAATTCATTCCCAATTCTACAGTGATCACTAAATTTCCCTTTGACTGAAACTCCACTAAATTGATATACAGCATAGCTAAGACAAAAACCAAGTGAAAAGCTAAAACTGCACACGTTTCGCTGTGTCTCTCTTTTTTTTCACACTCAGTCAAAAGAGTCGCTCAGCTGACTTAGTTGCGACGCGAACCCGATAAATACAACTCTTCGCAAAAGCTGATCAAGTGTTTAACTCGCCGCAAAAATTTCAAAATTGATCTTTTGGACGGGCCGTTTAGACAACTTTAAGACAGCGACGGCGACGCCGACATCGACGACGTCAACGTTGCAGCGCTGCTGCTCTAGCCGGAAAGGCGATCTGTCAGCGCCATCAGCATTCAGTCGATATTCGTCGCTGGCTCTGGTAACAACACGCGGAAACATTTTGTGTGACGGGTAAAAGAGAACTCGCAACGAGCAAGCGGCTGACATAAAATCAAATTCAAATTCAATCAATTCAACGAGCATCAACGATAAATGATAGGTGTAAATTCAATTAAATTAAAAGCAATTAGAACGCGTCACATCGATCAGTGAATGAGTCAAGTTAAGCAAATGTGCTGTATATATACATATATACATATATATGTACATATATAATTGTTGTTGTTTGTGGCCCAATCTTTGGCTCTAGCTGTTGGCTAATTGTGCGAGTAAAAGATACAAAAACAAAAACAAAATCAGCAAAAACAGCAGCAGCAGCAACAACAACAACAACAACAAGAGGCAACGCTCACATTTCGCATGCGCAAAGTTTGTCTAGTTTTTAGAGGTGTATTAGTGTATCTCCACCTGCTCGTTAGTGTTCGTCTGTGAGTGTGAATGTGTGTGTGTGTGTATGTCTGCCTGTCTCAATCTTTGCTCAATCGCAATCTTTGGGCACTGCCAAAACTGGTTAACTAAAAGCAAACGTGTTCTTTACGTTTGTTGACTTTGCAATCGCAAAACGACCCGAAGTTACTCAGCAGCTCAACGACATATATACAAGATACTTACACACGCACACATAATACATAAGTATTTTGTTTACATTTTGTGTGCAGCAACAACAACAACAACAACAGCAGCTGCATTTATAAGAACAGGTAAGAAACCGCAAACCGCAAGCCGCAAACCTCATTACAATTGTAAAAGCGCGAAGACCTTGCGAAACTGCAACACAATCTCAAGGATGGTATCAACTTCAGAATATGATAATCCACAGCATTACAACAACAACAGCAACGACAGCAACAGCAGTAAGCAGCAATCACATCAGCAGCAGCAGCAACGCAGGCCGCTGCTGCTTCGTCAACGACCTGCTCCAATTCGATTTATGCAGCCCAAGGTCAACGGCAACCAATGGCTTTAAAATGCAAACTCAGCTGAAGCTTCACCTGTGGCTAAAAACTTAAATGAAGCTGAAGATATCCAACAGCAACGCTGAGATGGCTGCTTCTTATGTTGTTGTTGTTGTTGTTGTTATTGTCGTTTTTGTTGGCTTGCTTCTTATAAGCGTTTTGCTACCCTGTGGCCCAATATGGCTTGACGGGCTATAATAAATTTTAATGAGCGTATGTCAGGAACTTGCATAACTTTCAGTGACACTCAAAAGTTGCTTAACTATATTTTTAATTATTTAAAAAGTTTAAATATATATATTTATTTTATATTATATTATAAAATTGCCACAAAATTTGTTAAGTGTACTTTATTATTGAATATTTATTCCAAATTTCACAAAATCATTTTTATTACATATTATCGCTCTTCTGCTGTGCAGCGAAATTCTCAGTAATGATATACTGCGAATTCCACATAATTTCAAAGTGATGTCTCATCTGTGTTTGGCTTAACCAAATAAATTATTGGTGAAGGCTGCACAAGCCGGCAAAAAAATACGCTTGAATTTAAAATTTATTAAAATATATAGATACATAAATATATATATATGTGTATATATAAATATAATATTCTTGTTACTCACGAATAAGTTTTGCTCTGTATTTATATTTGACAATTGATAAATTAACTCATAATTAGATTGTTTAAATGGATTTATGCTCATGCATTTCTAAATACTTTTAAATTCAATTTAGACGTTTATACAGGGTATTTTGGCTTTCGTGCTAGCTTGCTCTTGCACGCGAACTTGTTTTTTTTTTTTTTTTTTAATGCTGTTGCTGCCGGGTGTTTTTTATGAATAAGCCAGCTATTGTTATAGGTCCACTTGGAACTGGATTGTATATCTGTGAAGGGTATTGTGACTTAGTCAAGGTATTTTGAATTGAGGAAAATAATGAAACTGCTTACTGCTCACTGACAATACAAGAAGCAAGTGGAAATAGTGCAGTTTACAATGGTGATTAAATATAATGTTAATGGCCAACTGATAGAGTTAAGAGTGTCTAGACTGCTCTTGAGAGTTCAATGAAATTCCTTGAACTCTGTGAAAATGCTTTGGTCTAGTCTTGCGTTCATACTATCTGTGTCTTCGCTTGTCCCTGGGTGACTGAGTGGTAACGATTAAGTTCGTTGTTTTAAATACGGCACTTAACTTTTCGCTTACACACAAACCGCAACAATGAGAGCAACTACTGTAATAACAACAACAAACGCAATAACAACAGCAACTACAACAATTACTGTAACCGCATTACTTGGCGCAATTAAACCGCAAAGCTGTATACCTGGCTTACTGCTGGCTGTTCAGTTGGCTCATTTGCCTGTTTGTTTATGGCATTTCAAAACCCAAAAAAAAAAAAAAACATTTTACACGCATACCCCTTTAAAAAGCGGTTAATTTTGTAGAACGTTATAGTCGCATTATTTTGGCTTGCGTAATTAATATATTACGCAATGATTATGCCTTAAAGAGTATTAAATTTTCGACACCTCTTCCGATTCGTTATTGCTTTTGTGGTTCCGGGTCCTTTTGGCATTGGACGTGGTCAGCGTGCCTTGGTTCGCCTCATTTAATTATTTCACATGAATTGCAGAAAAATGTTTATTACTTTGTCTGAGTCACTTCATAAAACGGTAAGCATTAATGCCCGATAAGAACGAAAACGAAAAATTAAAAAAAAAGAAATCAGCAACAATATTCAGCTTTTGTTTGCTATGAGTTTCGATTTTAACGATATTTTGTCATTGTGGGTCTTAAGTTTGACGAACCGGCTTTTTGCATTTTACCAGTCACTCTCATGTGAAATTTATGTTGATTATGCGATATATCGATACTTATTTAATTACATTATTTGCATAGTAATTTGCACGTCCGTTCAAGAAGAAATATCAACATTATTGCAATGTATTTACATTTTTATGTTCAGTTGATTGGGATTTTTGAATGTAATATTAAAGGAAATTTATTGTACAACCTTACCATATAATGTAACACTCCATGCAGAAATAATTTGAAGGCAAATTTACATATATTTAAACTGTTACCTTAATTAATTATGCATTATTTAATGGATTTCTGGACAAATTGAAATTAGTTTGTCTTCTCTTTTCCCAAAAATGTTAACTATTTCGGAATGTACTCGAAGAGAAATGAATTGAACATTTGGCTAGTTTTTGGCTGCAATCAATGGAATGCGTCAGCGCAACTAAAATTCATTTATTTTGCGTTACATTTCCCTTTTTAAATTTGAATTTTGCATGGACTGTCAGCACGTTTGCCTGCATACCATTTTTATTGAATTTTCTGAAGGCGTTGTGGATATTTTGGCCATTTGTTTTGCCGTATTGGCAATTGATTTATAAGTAGTTCAAGCAGAATTAAACCACAACAAATGAATTTTTTTTTTAAATTAAAAAATAAACATTAAAGGAAATATTTATATATATATGTGTGTGTTTATATGAATATAATTATTCAATTAAAAAGACCGCACATACAAATTACCATTTATAAAATGACAGCGTCCACAGGTAACCGCCAATAAAAATAATCAAACCAAATACAGTATGTAAAAAACTTAAATGAATAAAATATAAATAAATGAATTTTCCAAACGGAGACAGGAAACCAAATTGCATTTTATGAAATGTGTCCAATGATAAATTACATTTGTTTATTTGATTTAATTTATAAGCCTTTCAATGTCATAATGAGTGAGATAAAATTGATGAGCGCAAAGACAAACAAACCACGGGCAGAAACTACTCTGTTGGAATACATAAATAATATGACTGATATGCGATGCATGCTATAAAAATGGGATAAATAAAGAGAATTTACGTAAGATAAGCTGCTATTTAAACAATTCACACCCAAACTTATAAATGAACTAATAATTAACTTGCTTAAAAATCGATGAATTACTATCTTTAACATATTAAATTAATTATTTATTATATTATTTATTAGTTAAATTTTAAATCATTTGCATTTATTATCTCTTCAGCTGTTGCGCAAAAGATAATTACTAAATTTTAGCATATCATGCAATACCCAATCTTTTAAATGAGCTTATAATGAACTAGATTACCAATATATGACTTAGTGGCTATAAAATATGTATTTTTGTCAATGTTTAAATTTTTAATTTGCATCTATTAATTGTTCGTCTGTTTTTATTAAAGTTTATCAAAACATTCAATACTCCGAATTGTGTCTGTTAAGTGAATGGGAATAGTTAAATGATAGAACTCACTCCAAGTCCCAATGCGGAATTAGCCGCAATAGCCTGAGCGATAAACAATCAGTGAATGCGAAAATAGATTTTCCAAGTCATATTTTCTTATGCCTAAAAATACGGAAATCGTTCGGCAAAATGTTCATAAAAATATGCAAAGTTTTTGCATTTATCCCACAACGACAACGACAACAACTAAGCCACTTGTAAGGCAATGATGAGGCGCCACGATACGCATTCAAATTGCCACGCCCCCTACACAGATTTTGTGTGTGTGTGTGTGTGTGGCTGCGAGTCTTATATTTGACACATTTGCATAATCTGAACCAAATCTTTGGTAACAAGTAATCGAAAATAAATTTGCATGACAAATAGCGGCCAAGGCAAAAGTGAACATAATTTGGGGCATGTTGTGGGTAGCAGGACATAGTCTGACATACACTCAACAGAAATATGCACTTGATGCGCCATATCAAAAAACGTACAAGAAAATATTCAGAGCTACTGAGAGAGACAGGGAGAGAGATAGACAGACATATAGAGAGAGAAAGAGAGAGAGAGGGAGAAATCAATTTATAGAGATGCGCGACTTTTGCATTGAAGCGTACACAATTTAATCACAATTTAAATTGAAAATTCGCAAAAAAGCAAAGTGGAGTATTTTTTTCACTCTCTTCGGTGCGTATTTGTATCAGCAAATAGACAAACAACTGGCGTAGCCCGGTGGCGACAGCCAGAGCAAAAGCAACGTCGAATAATTGCCAAATATTTGCGTACATATGTAAAAGTAATATTTGCATATAAACAGGCATATGTAGCCGATTTTCATTTGATGTTGCCACGTTTATTTTTTATTTTGTTCGTAGGTGGCCACCCACCCCCTAATTTGCATACTATTTTAAAAGGTTGTCTGAAATTCTTTTTATTGCCACCTAAAGGTCCATAAAACATACGTGCATATAAAGTGAGGCTCCAAAAGCTGTGATTTCATTTAAATAATCGGGAAGCGCTTGATATTGATATTTGTGCATCCTGAAAAATACATATATTTGCTGGTAATTTGTGAATCGTTCTCAAAGAACCAACGCGGTTTCAAAACTAATGCTTGGCTGCCTATCATTATGAAAATATTTTATTCTCAGCTGCTGACAAGTGCTGAATAATTGAAGCTGGCTCATTTGAGAAGCCAAAATCAGCTTACAGCTAGTGCCGGACCAGCTCAATTTGAAACTTCAACCAATGCCAAGTTTGGAGTTTCAACAAACTAAACAAATAAAAGGAGAATAAAAAAAAATAAAGTCGCCAAGTTGAGCGTGCTCGACTCGGCGATAGCCTGTACCAAACATATATGTTTTTTCATATTAGACCAGATTTCAACAAAATGTGCCATTTATGTGAACCCTTGAAATCAGATTCTGATGATTATTGCAAAAGTTGCAAAGATCGCATAAGGGTGGAAAATA